TATATATATATATATATATATATATATATATATATATATATATATATATATATAAATGATATATATATATATATATATTAGAGGTGTGAACCTATACTGGTCTCACGGTTCGGTTACGATTATCATGCCTTCGATTCGGTTCAATACGATATTTCGGTGCATTGACGATGCTTTCCATATACAGTGTTATATTTTAGGGGGGAGGCTATAACAAGCTGTCTGTATAAACACACAGACACACAGCACCACACTGTCTCTCATTCTAACACAAACATAGACAGCACCAAAGAAACAAACACACACACACACACTTAAGCCCTCGCAACAGGGAGAGCTCGCGAAGAGCGGAGCAAAAAAAAGAAAAAAAGAAGCCGACGGTCCCTTACTGAGAGCTCCTCTCAGCGCGAGCTATCCCGGCTAAACACATATTGCGAGGGCTTAAACGGAGCAGTGCTTGTACTGTCGAACGAACAAAAAGAAAGACAGCTGTGAAACATAACCAGCTTTGTCTTTGTGTAGGAAACACACTTTAGATCTTTTTAGGGTAAGAGGTTTTTGAGTTATTGCCGTCTGTAACTGAATGTGTGTCAGGAATATCGAATACAAAACCAACTGAACCGCGCTCCTTTCTGGCGCCCCCCTGGATGTACAGCGCCCTTAGCATTTGCCTATGGTGCCTCTGCCACGGGCCGGCCCTGAGTTGGCTGAGTGTTGTAAATACTCGCGCTCACCTCCCTCGCGACAGAGCGCATAGGAGATAAATGACGTTAGTACATAATAACTGGTTATGATTATTGCTGAACCGATACAGAATTGTCTGCGTCTGCATCGCGGTGCACCAAAGAAACAATTAATTTTGACACCCCTAATATATATATATATATATATATATATATATATATATATATATATATATATATATATATATATATATATATATATATATATATATATATATATATATATATATATATATATATATATATATATATATATATATATATATATATATATATATATATATATATATATATATATATATATATATATATATATATATATATATATATATATATATATATATATATATATATATATATATATATATATATATATATATATATATATATATATA